CAGGGTCTCACTACTCAGCTGACTCATAGTGATCCTCCTGTTTTCAGCCTCCCCAGCGCTGGGATTACAGGCATTGGCCACTGCGTGGGGAGTCTGTGGCCAGCAGTGCAGTGGCCAGCTCAGCCCACCCTGAGGGCGGGTCAAAGCATGTGGTACAAGGGATCAAACCAGTGGGGCTCCCTGTGCTTGCCTAAGCAGGCACTTTAGTCCTCTGAGCTATCTTGCCAGCCCAGCAAACCCTCTCTTAATAAAAAGAGTATCTTTAATTTCTTATGAACTAGAAAGCATACTTTTCCTGTGGATTCATTGTAAACCATTCTGAATCTTGTATCAAGGGTTGCAAGACAGAAGATACAGGCTTCTTGGTGAAGTATTGCCCAATCACATCTTTGCGAAAATTTTCAGTGTCCTTGCCTCCTTTGTCTTCTGCGATACTAGATTCCAATTTTGTCATCTTTTTGTGTTTTTGCAGTAGTTTCTTCAGTTGGGCTCTCTGCAACTCCATCAGCACATACAGCTCTCTGCTCCTTGCTCTGAAATTTTATTATTTGGTCACCCACCCCTCTACTTAGCTGCCTTATGCTGCCAATCATCCTTCACCCTAAATTTGAGACCATTCCTCATTGAACCTTTCAGAATAGGAACTTTTGGTTGCTCTGGGTCAGTCAGAGTGAAGCTATGGGGTGCAGCGGGGTATTGGTATCACTGAAAGCTCTAAAAGGTTCACCATCACTTTTCTAGGTTTATTTATAGGGCAGGTGATGGCAACACAAAGATTATTATCTTTTTGTGTGCTGTTCTCTAACCTAAGCTTACTATGAGGTCATATTAAGGCTACTGAAGGTGGTATACACTGAGGACAGCTTTGATACCATCCATGGTTAAAAGCATGGGCTTTGGAGACTGACAGCAATAAATCTGAATGCCACTTCGTCCAAAGTACATGAGGGAGTATCAGTTCTATGCCAGTTTCTTCATCTATAAAACCGATATAAGACAAAAATATGCCTCTCAGGGACTTAAGGAACAAAAGTGAATTAGCGGTAAAGATCACCACAAAGCAGACTATATGTAAGTTCTCATTAAATGGCCGCTGTCATTTATAAGTTCAGCCTCTGTTTCTCTAGTCTGTCCAGTCTTCTCTGTCAGTGATTTTGTCTTCCTCTAAGCACTTAAAATATTTTTTATTTCTACAATTCATTTGAAAATCAGTGATGGTTTACATGGTGACAAGATGTATTCATACATTAATATATTAATATTTCATTTTATTTAAACTTTTTGTAAAATATATTAATATTTTGATACTGAAATTTAGGCTTACAGCTGGTTATAATGAACAACTATAATTCTGGCACTCAGGGGCTAAAGCAGGATTGTTATAAGTTACAGGCCAGCCTAAATTACACAGTAAGACTTTTTTGTTGTTTTTTGTTTTTATTTTTATTTTTTTACACAGTAAGACTTTTTCAGAGGGGTAAAAACTCCAGATGAAGAAAGAAGAAGAAAGAAGAAAGAAGAAAGAAGGAGGAAGAAGGAAGAAGGAAGAAGGAAGAAGGAAGAAGAAAGAAGAAGAAGAAGAAGAAGAAGAAGAAGAAGAAGAAGAAGAAGAAGAAGAAGAAGATCCAGCAGGTGGTGTGGTGGTGGAGGAGGGAGAGGGGGAGGGGAAGGGGGAGGGGGAGGGGGAAGAAGAAGATCCAGCCTCTCAAAACAAAGTGAAATTTAGGCTTTTAAAATGTAGGAATTGGGGCTGGGAAGATGGCTCAGTGGAATAAGTGCTTGCCTGGCAAGCGCAGGGGCCTGAGTTCAATCCCTGGTTTTGCTAAAAAATAAAATAAAATTAAAATTAAAAAAATTAAATGTAGGAATTATAAATGTTCACATATAATGACATCTTATGTTTTTGGAGACAATCTAATATCTAATATTTGGTCTCACCGACTTGAGCACATCTTTCTTAGCCTGTATGTGCTATTTTGAGACTTTAAAAAACAACTATCTTGGGACCAGGGAGATAGCTCAGTAGAATAAGCGCTTACCTGGCTAGCACAGGGGCCTGAGTTCAATCCTTGATTCCACAAAAAAAAAACAAAAAACCCAAAACACAAGAACCAACTATCTTTATTTGTACATAGCAGCTAACATAGTACTTAACATTACAGTTCTGATCCCAAATTCTCAAAGCTTACAACTTTTTTTTTTTTTTTTCCTTTGGCAGAACCGGGGGATTGAACTCAGGCCCTTGCACTTGCCAGGGAAGCGCTTATTCTACTGAGTCATCTCCCTGCCCTCAAAGCTTATAAGTTGTTGATTATCTTTATCACATATCTAAGCAACTTTTTCTCTTATATTTACAGTAACATTGTATATTTTATTAAAGCATTTACCATTCTTCTTTGAAGTTTACAGGCATTTGTCTATGTTCTGCACACTCGGGTTTTCTACCTATAAATGCACCTTCATTATATTCTAATTATTCTGTATTCTATGAGTCAGAGAACACAGACTTCAGCTATTAGTCCCAGCACTGGCTCAAAGGCTGGCATAGATATTTATTGAACACGTTGTGAAGTTTTGTTGAAAAGTCATGCCTTATAATGCCTGTGTTCTTTTATTGCTCTCGAATTTGATTCATGGTGGGTGTTGGCTGAATGGTTGACAAGCATAGCTGGGGAGGAAAGTGCAATTTCAATGCCTGCTCTAAGGGGAAAAAAAAGTGAAACAAAAGACTGTCTATCATCATGGACTCAGCAACAGGCAACCCTTTAGGAGATTAAACAAAATGGCATCAACTCTCACAGTTAAGTCAAATTATACAGCATGTCATAAGTGTCTTGGGCTGGCCAAATAGCTCAGCTGCGCTTGCAAGCAGCGCAGGGGCCAGGTTGCATCTCCAGGCCTGCAGGGCCGGCCCGCCCCCGGGCATGCTGAGCAGGCAATTGAGACTGGGAGTGGTGGCGCGCGCTAGCTTGTGGCCTTCTGAAGAGAAAAACAGTGATGATTCCAGAACTCTTACATAAAGGTGTTTAGTTTAGCTATCAGGTTCGACGGTCGTAAGGTCAGGAGGGACATAGGAAACTCATCTAGAAGCTGCCTCTTACAGGACAGGTTTCTTACATTATAGGCTAAATATCAATGAAAATAGCAGGATTTCTAAAGATATTCATCTTTCTCCATGTTGTTTAAAAGACGGGGAGGGGGTGGTCACCTGTCCACCAAATGAATGATTTACAGCTGGAAGTAAGGAAACGAGGACAGACGGAAGGTGGCCCTCAACTGTGAGCCAAATGACCTAAGCCTTACTAAAGTCTACCTCAGGGGCAAGTCTGATCCGGCAAGAGCCTAAGAGAGAAGAGCTCCAGTCTCTTCTATGCCAACACCTCCAAGGTCCTGATCTCTCTCGCGAGGCGGCCCTCCGCATCCCTGTTTCACCTCGCTGGGTCTGTTCCTCTCCTGCTTTCACCTTCACCACTCCCAACGCGCAAGAAGCTGGCTCGCCCTTCTACTGGCCCTGAACCGACCCGAGAAGCGCGCGGAGCCCGTTCGTCTCCGAGGGAGCCCACGACACGCAGGATCCTAACTACAGTCTAACCGTCAGCCCCAGAACGCTTGCTTTTGTTTTTAAGGAGTACGCAGCCGCAAAAGGGAGAAACAGTCTCGGGACCAGCAAGCTGTGGTTCTCTAATCTGTCAGTCAGTATTCAATAGTCTGGTTTTCAGGACTACTCCCGCTCCCGCAGCTAGATCTGTGTAGGATGAAAGGGGGTAAAAAAGTATCCCAGGACTGCGTTCTAGTAGGAAAAGTAGCAGGACTCCTAGGTTACTCGGTTTTCTTACACGTGGGCACAAGAGCAGGGAGATAAACAGCACCATAAACCGCCTTTCAGCTCTTCCCAGGATTCTATGACAAGGTCGCACGATTCTGACGTCACAAACGAGCGAGGCCAGGCGCTGTCGACGCTCTAGCCCGCCGAGCGCTCGGTGCCCCACGGGCCGCGCGCCGTGGGCGCTCTAGCCGGCAGTTTCGGGTCTCGTCCCTAGCCAGCTGGGAGGCCCACGTTCCGCAGCGCCCCGCGCGGGCTGAGACTCCCCGGCTCCTTGGTGTCAGAGTCGGGAGGGACACGCGGAGGGAGCGGCAGGCTTCTCTCTGGTTTGCAGACTCCGCCGCAGGCCAGACATGGAGTTCGCCAGCACCGGCTCCAGCTTTCAGTCGGATCTGGACTTCTGTCCGGAGTGCGGCTCCGTCCTGCCTCTGCCCGGCGCGCAAGACACGCTCGCCTGCATTCGCTGCGGCTTCCCCGTCAGCGTGAGGGGTGAGGGCGAGGGGTTCCGCGGCGGTCGGAGGCTGGGTGTGCAGCTGGCTGGATGAGGAGGGGGCCCCGCGGCGGGGGCGCTCGCTCAGTGGTCGGGGAATACCCAGGGGAAGGGCTTTCACTGAACAGCTTTCACTGCCCGTGCAGACTTGGAAGGAAAGGTGGTGAAGACCTCAGTTGTGCTGCACAAACTGGGGACAGCCGTGCCTCAGTGGGGCGAGGAAGGACCGGAGTTCCAGGGACCCGTGGTAAGCTGGTGAAATCCAGGTTTTTTGTTTTTTAATTGCGGTGCCTGGGATTGAACAGCCCGGCAGGCAGGCGCTTATGCCGCTGAGCTATCTCCCCGGCCCCCTGAAAGTCGGTTCTATAGAGGATGGGGCAGACATGGAGAGGCGATCGCAGAGATCTAGAGTTTTGTTCCCAATAAGGAGGGGATCTTTAGGTTGAGGATAATTGACAGATGTGATAGCCTGATTCCTGTTTTGTTTTGTTTTGTTTTGTTTTGGCAGAACTGGGGATTGAGCTAAGGCCCTTGCGCTTGCCAGGGAAGCGCCCACTCTGCTGAGCCATCTCCCTTGACCCAACTATTAGGTTTTGGGTTTTTGTTTGTTTGTTTTGTTTTGTTTTTTTGTGGAACTGGGGATTGAGCTCAGGCCATTGAGTTTGCCAGACAAGTGCTTATTGTACTGAGCTATCTCCCCGGCCCCTGTTTTGTTTTGTTTTGTGTATCTTAGGGTAGGGTCTACAGGGTGTTCAGGGTCTCACTACTAGATCGGATTTGTAATGCTCCGCCTGTTTATAGCCTCCCAAGAGCTAGGATTACAGGCATGTGCCACCACGCCCAGTCTCAATTGCCGTCTCTCCAGGGGCGCGCCAGGCAGCTCCGGGGATCGAACCCCCAGAATCCGCTGAGCTATCTGGCTGGCCCCTTGATTCCTCTTTGAACAAAAAAAAGTGGGATATGTCTGCACCTCCTTAAGCAGCCTGCTTTTCCCTAGGTTGACAGACGCTGCTCTCGATGTGGCCACGAGGGAATGGCCTACCACACCAGACAGATGCGCTCAGCTGATGAGGGGCAGACTGTCTTCTACACCTGCACCAACTGCAAGTGGGTACTTCTCCCTCCCTCACCCCCCCCCCTTTGTGGTCTGTTTGCTAATTGAAATCTAGTAACGGAGGTATTGTACTAAACAATTTTTTTGTCCCATCCCTAATAGGGAAATTTGTGGGTGGTGGGTAGATGGTTGGTTGATTGATTTTGGAAACAGGGTTTCAATACGTAGGTTCAGGCTGGCCTCAGCTTCCAGAGTGTTGCTGGCCCAGGTATTTTTTAATCTCCATTTGGAAATGGCACTGGAGATTGACCTCAGGGCCTCATGTGTGCTTCATGCACTCTACCACTAACCCACATCCCTGCCTTCCTCCTTTTCGTTGATGTTTGAAATTTGTTAGACTTTCTGAAGCTGAGAACGGATTTATTTTGCATACATTTTGGAATATTATCTCAGTTAATATTGCCCTTCCTCCATGTTCTCAATTCTCGCCTTCTTTTCCTTAATCCTATTTTCTCACTTGTCTCATTTCTCTTCCTACTGCCTTTTGGCTGATTTCTATAGGGCATTTATTGTTGCAATTTATGTCAGCTGACCTTTCAAATCTCATTTTAAATAGCTCTCAGATACTTAAATTTAAATTCTTTTGGGCTGGTGAGATGGCTCAGTGGTCTAAAGCACCTACTTAGAACAAGCTTAGCAAAGCACAGGGACCGCGGTTCAATCCCCCAGCACCACAAGCCAGCTAGCCCCGCCCCCTGGTGGGCTGAGCTGGACACACACACACACACACACACACACAGAAATAAAAAAAAAAATTTTTTTAAAGCATTAAAAAAATTCTTGGGCTGGTGAGATGGCTCAGTGGTCTAAAGCACCTACTTAGAACAAGCCTAGCAAAGCACGGGACCACGGTTCAATCCCCCAGCACCACATACCAGCCAGCCCAACCCCCAGGCGGGCTGAGCTGGCCACGCAAACACACACACACACAACACACACACACAAATAAATAAATTAAAAAATAAATAAATTCTTTTATTTTTATTTTTATTTATTTATTTATTTAATTTTTTACGGAACCGAGGATTGAACTCAGGCCCTTGTGCTTGCCAGGCAAGAGCTTATTTTACTGAACTATTTCCTCGGCCCTCTTTTATTTTTAAATGTATATTAAATACATTAATGTATATTTACATTCTGTGCCTGGTAATTTTGATATCTATAATTTCTTTTTTTTTTTTCCTTCCCCCCCTTTTTTTTT